TGAATCTTAGAAATTTAAGTGGAGATGTATATGAAAAAGAAATTCTGAATAAACGTGTTAGTGTATTAGACATTCTTCAATTATATTCTTCATGTAATCTTTCATTTTCACAATATCTTCGAATGCTACCATCACTTCGCATTCGTCAGTATAGTATTTCATCCTCATCTTTATGGAATTCAGAAGTTGTAACATTAACAGTCGATATTCTTAATACGCCAGCATTAAGTGGAGTTGTACAATATTATGGTGTTACATCAAATTATCTTTCAAGTTTAAAAGAAGGTAATCGAATCAGTTGTAATGTGCGAGCAAGTAATCTGGCATTCCATCCACCTGAAGATACAAAAACACCAATTGTAATGATTGCCGCTGGAACTGGAATTGCACCATTTTGTGGATTTGTTCAAGAACGAGCAGAACAATCAGTATGTGGAAGAGAAATTGGCCGTACAATACTTTCGTATGGATGTCGATGAGATAGAGATTTTTTATATTCAAATGAATCTGATGAATGGTCAAAACTTGGTGTAGTGCAAGTCAAATCTGTTTTCTCGCGTCAAGAAACTAATGATAAAAAGTATGTTCAAGATTAGTTTGGGAAGATAGAGATGAAAGATGACATGTTTTTAACTTCCTTTTTAATTATTGTTTCCATATCTCCCACCAAACTGAGATCTGATGAATTTTCAGGTCAGATAACATTAGTCATATTTGTTCGCATACTTATCATAAATAAAAATAAGTACCACTAGTCGACGTTCTTGGATTCGTTCTTTCCAGATTTTTGTTCAAGGTGGTAGCAAGATTCTTGACAGAATAGACAAATCTTGTCTGTTCAGCCAAGAATCATGTAGACCGAATCTTGGCTGACAGATCAAGATCTGTCTGTTCTGTCAAGAATCTTGTATTCTTGAAAATCAGGTAAAATTCTTGCTGTTCAATCAAGAAAAGACCCTTGCCTGATCTCCAAGATAAAGAAGAACCTTAGCTGATCAACCAAGAAAGCCCAGAATCTGGAAAGAACGATGGCATGAACGTCGATTTGTAACATCAGTATCAAAAACATTTTTTCGTTTTTACGAAAGAAAATACATTTTCAGTTAAAACTATGTAAAATCTCAATACAAGCTTGATTTTTCAACATTTCACGGTATCTTTCATCTTTTTAAATATCTTTGACATTGCTTAGGTGCGGGGTAAGGATGAGGATACACAAAAGATAATCACCCCCACCCTCAATTTTAGATAAGTTGTAAAATACATTTAAAAAATCCAAATATGTTATTTACTGTAGAATGAATGTATGATCCAAGATCTCTAATAGACATTCCTTGTAACAATTCAACAATTGGAATGTTTGTGCCTATCTCCTGTTCCAACCAGTTGTGGAGCTCAACAGCAGTTAATAAGTTCATGCCTAGTTCCGAAAGTGGTTTATTTAGATCTATACAGTCTGTGTTTGATGCACCAAAATTTGGACTATGTGTGCTTGAATCATCGAATATTCTTCTTCAAATATTCATCTCTTATGGATATTTGTTAGCTTTTTCTAAGAAAAATAAGTCAGTTTTTTGCACCTCTTAACAAAATAAAAGTGTTCATGCTACAAGTGACTGTAGTTATATACATTCAACGCCATTTAAGCTTGATGATTAACGGGCGCAAATATACATCTTTGAAATATTTCGAAATGTACAAGTGAACACTCGAAGCTTTATTTTTTTCAGTCCGTAAAAACAATGAAAATATGAAGATGAACCTGAATAAAATGACTACTGGCAGGGATTGAACATATTTTACTTTTCAAATTTAGAAAAGAAAATGAATACCCATAATGAATAAGAAGAAAATGAATGAACATTCAAATGTTCGGGAACTGCCATTTCTCGAAAAAATACCGAATTCCATCGCATCACTAGTTGGAAGATGATTTTGAGAACGATGACAATGTTTGGATTGTTCAACGTAAGCGACAAAGGAATTATAAAATCGAAGCGGTCTTCAAGCTAATGATCCAACTGAAAAGAGATTAACCAAAATGTGCAGAGTCGTCAGTGGAACAATTCATCATATAAACATTCCGCACTTGAGCTAAGTGTGTGTCTCAAACATTACTTAACTTAAGTCACTTATCGATCTGACTTAACTTTTCACTTGAACTTTTAAGCAGAAAACTGTTTAATTTTTGTAACTTCTTTATTTGAAGTGCATAATCACCCAACCCACAATAATTATACTGAACATAATTTTGTCAGTGATTTGGTTTCGAAAATTGTTGTAAAATGATCTAAGCATGATTGCAGCCCGAAAATGTCTAATTAAAATGAGACATTTCCCAGCTTTACAAAATTATTCTTTTCTAAATAGCTCATCATACTTTCAAATGGAAATGTTGATATGTTCCAACTGAACCGTAGTGGTCATATTCTTTTGGATAATGTAAATGTACATGCATTGCTAATGTTTCTAGG